ACACACACACACACACACACACACACACACACACACACACACACACAATAATTCTATGTACCTAAGGCATAGAAATTTGTTGAGGCATGAGAAGAAAATGATAATCAAAACTAACCAACTGAAGATGACCTTGAACTTCTGACCCTCCCACCTCTACCTCCTGAATTTTGGGAGTCTAGGCTAGTGTTATAATCCCTGTTTTATTTGGTGCTGGGGATTGAACCTGGTTTTTGTGCATGCTTGGCATATACTCTACGTAATGAGCTACATTTTGCAGTCCTTTAGATACATTTTAAAGAGAAAATATGTCTGTTAAATTTTTTAGTAGAACATAACACAAGAATAAGGACTAGGCATAAAGTCTTAATAGAAAAATATTAAGTAACTGGTAATTTTGCTTAAATAACACAGTGCAGTACATAGCTGAGGGAGTTCTAGAACCTTAGTCCTAGAGATTTAAAAAAAAATCCAAGATGGGATTCAGGGTCTCTGTGAGAAAGCAGCCTGGGCAGAACATGGCCTGGAGTCTTCTTTAGTTCTTTGTATTCTACTCTTTAAAACTAACATTTCCATAGGGAGAGTGAGAAATAAACTCATGCATTCACAATTAGCTTAGTTTTCAACAACAATAATAAGCGCACTGTAGAAAGGACAGCTTTTCAACAAATGGTGTGGAGAAAATGGACAGCTGAACACAGAAGACTGACATTAAACACTCGTCTCCCATCAGTCCCCAAAGCAAACTCTAGAAAGACTATAGACTTAGCTGAAAGGAAGAGACAGAACTGTCAGAAGAAAATAGAAGGAATTCCTCAGAACATTAGTATGGACAAGGACTTTTGGATAAGACCCCAGAGCATAGGAAACCAAGGCAAAAACAGACAAGCAGGTGTGAGTGCATTAAACTCAAACTAAAAAAAAAGAAGCTTCTGCAAAGCAAATAATCAATATAGTGAGCACACAACCTATGAAATGACACAAGCTACACATCTAATAAGGGGTTAATAGATAGAATGCATAAGACATTTTTTAAAGGTCAATAAAAACCAAAGTGCACAACATACCTAAATGGATATTTCTTAAAAGAAAACATACCAGTGGCTAACAGGCATATGAAAAAAGTTCAAAATCACAAGTCATCAAGGCAATGCAAATTAAAACAGCAGTTAGATCTGGCCTCAGTCTCAGAAAAGTGGGTTGTTATCAAAAGCAAGAAAGATAACAAATACTGATAAATAAGTGTAAAAGGGGAAGGGAAGTCTTGTAAACTACTGATAGGATTGTAAATTAAAACTGTTTTGAAAAACAGCATGGAAGATCTTCATGAAATTAAAACTAGAACTAGAATATAACTTAACAATCCCTCTCCTGGGTACAAGCATAGACACAATGAAGTTACTAAGTTAAAGAGACATCTGCACACCCATGCTCACAGAATATCCTAAATATCCATCAACTGATGAATGGACAAGAAAACATCACATACAAAAAAAAAAAAAACAAAAAAACAAAACAACAACAACAAAAAATAACACCACTATTTAGACATTTAAAAGAAAGAAAGAATGAAATCTAGTCATTTGCAACACTGTGGCTGATGTTGGAGATCATTACACCAAGTGAAATAGGCCAGGCACTGAAAGAAAACACCATGCATCTCACACATATGTAGATTCAAGGAGGTTGATCTTACAGAAGTTTAGAGTAGAATGGTGATCACTAGAAACTGGGTAAAAGAGTGGTCAGTGGTGGAAAATACAAACAAATGTCAACCATGAATACTCCATGCTCAGCGGGCCTTGCTCAATTTGTTTGTTGACAAACCTGATGACCTGTGGTGGATCACCCGTACTCACATGGTAGGAAAAAACTGACTCCTGCAAGCTGTCCTCTGACCTTTATACATATGCTGTGCCACATTCCTATGTGCAGGCACACAACACATGCACATACACAGGGTACAGAAGAGGACATAGGATGCCCTGGAGCTGGAGTTACAAGCAGATAAATGTGAGATGCCTGATCTGGATTCTGGGGAACAAATGCAGGTCCTCTGCCAGAGCAGTGAGCTAGCTCTCTGAATTGGTGAGTTGTCTTTCTAGTCTCCAACTGGGGGAGTCTTACGAGGGACAGGAGTAGTAAAGGTTGAGGGGAGAATGCCCGCAGGAGATGGAACAGCAACTGTGGACTGTAGAGCACAAAGAAAAAGCAATGTTTTTTTACAGCTGGCATCTAGAAAAGAGGAGATCCTTTTGCATAAAAAGGAGATAGAGTGACAAGAATATATTAGATAAAAAAAAATTAGCCTTGGAATGCCATCCACTCTGATCTCCTCAACAATGTGACTAACCATACTTTGCCACCAATAGGTGATACTTTCTTCAGGAGGCCATGACATGTTTCAAGTGGGTGAAGATCCTGCTGTCCTTGACTGAAGAGATGCTTACTATGAAAATGACTTTCTGCCAGCTGTCTCTAGTCCATTACAGCTGTAATGTGAGTTTAATGCAATGTGACATACACCACAGCAAATAGTTACTAGTGTGCAGAACAAGAAATAAGCCTTATTTTTTTCTCCCATCTTGCTAGGCATCATCTTCCTGCTATCTAGTCTCTTGGTTTGGATGTACTCAAGATGTTGTAATCTTTTGCTCCACTTTTCAAAACAATAATAAAGAGCTGCCCTTTATTACTGTTGTAGAGTCACACTGACACAGAACAATCAAAGTAAGCCATTAACAGAATCTTCTTTGTTCAAATGACAAACATCAATGTGCATCTCTCTGGGAAATCACAGAGCTGGCAAGCGAGGGTGAAGTGGGATGGCTGTTAGCAAGATATACCAGGTTTGCTTGGGGCTTTGTTTTAGCAAAGACGTCAGAAGTAGTGATTACAGTTCACTTGGGTTTTGAACAGATTTAAAAATGCTGACAGTTAGTTAAATCACTCACTGGGTGGAATAATCACTCTGAAAGGAACTGAGAGGGTGCAACTTGTATTATAAAACGAAACTGAGTATACGAGACACAGCACTAATGGGCATAGTAGAAGATATCTTTGTCAGAATAACAGAGATGATTAAAGACATGAATTAGACATCATCTCCACTGGGTACTCTCAGTGACATGAACACAACAGCTAAATTGAGCAATTACAAAGTTAAGTGTAACTCAGAGAGCTTCTTTCTCCTTTAGAAAACAGTTGGCTTAGCCAGTCTGAATTACTCAGTGGCTAGTTTTAGAGGTTACAAAATATTTTGTCTTGTGAAACCCTTTTGAGAATGGACAGACTATAAATCTGGCATGCTGTGCACTCAAAACAAAAAATTACTACAAAATGTTAGAGGTAATGTTAGAGATGATATATACATACCTGTACCCTACATATATATGTCTATATGTCACCAAACTAGCAGATCCCTTCTAAGCATCACTGAGAAATATACTTGCATTCACAGGAGCCAAAACAAAACAAGAAAACAGGCACCTGGTCCCTTTTTAGAGCTATTTGCAGTTATCAAAGAAAGAATTAGCTCTGACTTTTTAGAGAGAGAGGAAGAACAGAGTGGATCTGGGAGAGAAAGGGAATGATTTCAGTGGCTGCTATGACAGAACTGTGATTATGGAATTGTAATGCTGGAGTGGCCTTTCACAGACAGCTCTTTATGCAGACTTTTCAAATGTAATACCATGCCTTAACTACCCCTAACTGGCACATTTTCTATTTGTGCAGACTTCTGAGAGTGAACATGTGACATTTCATAATTAGGCAAAAATATTTTAAATAAAGTCTAAGTAGAAGGTACTAACATTAAACAAAGTCAAAGCACATGCTGTGATTCTTACCAGCACATTCTTCTATCATTCCCTAAGCCCTCCTGTTCTGCACCAGCTGTGAGGATGGGGATATGGTCAGCACTAGAGGGCATAAGCAATGAGCCTTCATGAGATCTCACTATGGCTATGGGCCTGTGTTTCAAGGAACAACTTATCTTTGTGAATTTCCTCCACTCCTTTTCCATTTCTAGGCTGCAATGGTGATTATCCACAAAATAACAACTTCTCAAGGGACACTGATAATAAATAACAGACTCCAAAGTTTACAGTCACAATAAACATGGGCAGTTTCCTCCTAATGATCCTCTGATTGCCAGCCCTAACAGAACAAAAATGTCCTCACTGCTCTTTTCCTGAGTTTGCTTTTCCTAAGTCTGATTCCACCCCTCTACTCACACATCTAAACTGCTTTCTTCCTTATCCACAGTAGTCTTCCTCCATCTGTATTCTACATTATCCATACTCTTGAATACATGCTTCTTAAAAAGCAGTTGTTAGTGGGCAGAATGAGGGCCCAGCACTTCCTGCTCTTAAAGAGCCAGGTTCTGTTTCCAGCACCTACAGGGGGGCTCATAGCCACTTAAAATGCCAGTTCCAGGGAACTCCACACCTTCTTTGGCCACCACAGGTACTATTTACATACACAGTAAATGTACACAAAGGCAGGAAAACACAGACACATAAATCTTTATAAAACACATTTAATCTGTAGTAATCAAAGTTTATGTGCTTTACAGTTTTCTAATTATTCTTCTTTGAAGCACTGGTCCTTGATATAAAAAGGGTTCTCATTTTCATTTCATCCCCTAATTCTTAGTATCGTAAAAATCTGTTATCTCTCAGCTTTCTCTTTTTCTCTTAATAATTGTCATCCTTATTACATTTTTTTTTCTATTTCAATCACTTCTATTATTCTCTTTTTAGGTACTTTTTTTTATTAGCTTTTATCTAGTTAGAGAAAGAATGTAGCCATGCACTCAGGCCCTAAGAGACATTGCTGGAAGGAAGACAAAAGGTATTGCTTTCTGTTCTTGAGACTCAGTATTTCTCTCTTACAGGGTACAGTGTTTTAGGATTTGTTATGAAGCCTGTGATATAAGCCTTTTCTGGCTTCTCTGCAATCATCTGGCAGTTGCCACCCTCCTAGGCACTTACTTTGGGATGTAGACAGGTTGGAGAAAGCCGACTTCATTCGGCCTGCCAGCCATTCCAGGCTTTCGTGCATGTTGGCCAAGGCTTTGAGGTCACTGACATCACGGAGAATGTCTTGTGGAGGAATGAGCTTGTCACCAAGGTTTCCAATCAAAACTTCAGACTCCTTGCCAAAGGCTGTCCTGAAAACAAACAGAACACACCATACTTACTGCTTGGTGAAGGATGCGGACAGGCTTCACTCACTTATTTTAAAAACTCTGCAGCAAATAAAGTATAAGCATTAATTTATGTAGTGAAGGAAAGCTAGGAATAAGCACAGAGTAGCACAAAAATAATGTGCGCTAATCTTTTAACTCAATGAGTTTCCCAAAGCTCATTGTCTTCAGAATCCTCTGAGGAGTGTGAGAAGGTTACATGGTGTGATAAAGGACAGGTCACGAAGGAAATTTGGAGACCACATGGCCCAGACACAGCAGGGATGAAAACTTCACAGGTCATTTTTGGGGGGAGAAGGGAAGAGAATAGAGGGAGAGATGGAGATTAAGAGACAGGGAGGAAGAGACTGCTAGAGTCAGTAGAGATCACTAGGAGTCAAGTCAGACATGGCATATAAGCAGAACTGACATCAGAGGAGGCTGAAAGAAGCAGTTTGTTGAGCCCTCTCTAAGTCCTAAGGCTTTTACAACTTAAAGAAGCTTAGTGAACAGATGTTGGGGCTCCATTTAAATGGAAAAACATAATTTAAGCTTTGAGTAAGCAGTGGTTAGTAACATGAAATACAATCAGAAAGACTCTAATGACAAACAGAACTTAGGATCTAGCACTAGAGCAGGTGTTCATTGTGACAGAAACCCTGCTGTGAATTAAGCATTAAAAATGTCTGACACTAAGCCATTCCTCATGATTAACTTCATTTCAACAGAAGGTTATGTTCTTAAAAGGGAAAGTTAAGGAGATTGGTTGATTTGGGTATGCTGTGGTAAAGGGGCAATAAAGCACACTCAACTGTGCATACAAACCTTGGGTGTGTTGACAAGGCTCTCCAAATGGCACATGTCTAACTGATTTCCAAATGACATTTGGGTAAAAATTAGTGCTCATGCTTCTGAGTTGGGAAATCTAGGTATGAAGCCTTAGTCTGTTGCTTGATGAAGACGGGTTGTCAAAATTTCATATGTGATGCATCTGGTGGTAACGGTGTGGACCTTTTCTGAAGTAAAGTGAGCTAAGGTAATTTTGAAAATTTTTCTTTGGGAAGGTATCAATAATCACAAAAACAGAATATTAACAAATCCCATCTGGCCATCCACTGGTCTCATCACCAGAAACTCAAAGTGAATCATGTTTCCTTTGTCTTCATCCTCTGCCCAGGAATATTTACATGCACAACACAATGCTTGGGGTCTAACAGAAACTATCACGGTTTAGTTATTATATTTCTTAGGGCTATTGCGAAGGCTAGTTATTTATAATCAAATCAAGGTATGTGCTAATCAATGCACTTAAATAGGTAAGATTGTAGTGGGAACAAAGTCTCAAGGGCTAGAATCACAAATGAAGCCTTCTGGCACCATAGTTACCGCAGAGGTAAATTACCATGACAGGAATCGCTGTTCTCCTATCTAGTGCTACTTATTCTAGTCTTACCTGGTAAAAGGCCCTTCATATTGCTGTGGTTGAACATGTGCCCAATGTCAAATAAATAAAACAAACAAACAATCTCACGAAATTTCCCCATCCTTCAAAAGTGGTACTGAGTGCCATGTGATATGAAATCAGAATTTCATATGACACAACTCTCTGGAAAGATCAAGGACCACTTTTGTCTCCTCCCTTTCTGGCATGCAACCATAGCAACTGAGCTTCAGTGGTTCCTCTCAAACATCAGGAGAGCCTGAGAGAGGAAGCTACTGCTAATAATAATGGAGCCTAAAGGTAAGATAGTACAAGCACACTGTGACATCACAGGTGCCACACTGCAGCCCCAGACAATATGCTTCTGGGCTTCATGGCAGTGAAGGTCCTATTGCTTAAGCTGATGTTATTTCTATCTGCTAGTAGCTGCTAAGTGCAATTTTTGACTGACACAATCATCTAATTGGCATAAGTGAGGTCATCCTTAGAAAACTCCCTCTGAATTTGGGTGCCTATAAAATCTAGTTGTGTGAAAAGCTAAACTTCATGATGTGAGACCAGAAATCATCTATAATATCTTCCCTTGGGCAAGGCTGCAAATATCTACTTCTCTTAATATGTCCTTATATATCAACTTTTCCAGCCCCTTAATCACCTTTGATAGATATAACACAAAAAATATGTCTGAGCTGGTGGTTATAAAGCAGCATGGGAGGCAAAGAGCTTTGAAAGCCAGGCTTGGAGCCATTTTTATTCATGCAAGCCTAACCCTGGGAGGAACACAACAATCAAGACAAGCGCATTTATGCAGAAGTCTAATCCGTGAGCAGGTCTGTGGGCCCCGGGCATGTCTGAGTGTGTTCCTAGCACTGCATGCTGGTCCTCTTCCCTCTGGATCACTGACATTTGTTTAACCTCCTCAGACAGGAGAGCAATAGACTTAGAAAAATACAAACTGCCTCATGTTGAATACATAGTAGACATCTCATTTGACAGAAATCCATAATCACCCCCTAACAACCTGGAAGACACACAGAAACCATGACACAGAGAATAATTGATTGACAGCTATAACCATTTCACACACAAAATCATTCCTCTGAGGATTTGTGTACGTGTGAAAGAGCCTGGTGGAAGATTTTTTTTTTTGTTACAATAACCTTAGCAAGATGGCTAAAGTTGCATGACTGTATTTATTTTCTAAACTCTCTGATTTATAAAATTGTACCATATCAACCATATGGAGTCATTAGAAATTATTTAGTAGAGAACTCTTAATATCACAAAGAATGTTTAGTGTAGCTTATTTTTTACTGCTGATATATAGTTAGCGCAAAAAAACTATTATTACACTATGCACACAATATAATCTACTGTGTGTGATAGTAACAGAATAATCACATACAGGAAGCTAAATAATAGTGAGTATCTGTTTGCCTAAAAGGTCAACTCCTGGACTTGAACGTTCTTTTGAGTGTTTCTGTATCTTCCATACTTTTTTCGGAAGACATGAGAAGACATTTAAGAGGACATGTTAGGAGTTCCAGGACAGGAGGCAGGGACCACAGACACTTGCAGGACAGTAGGAGGGTTCTGCTTAGCTTTCATGTGTGGCTCCAGCCTGCTGAAGATGCAACCAATGTTCCTGAAAATAGCTTACCACTACTATGACAGCTACTGAAAACTAGATGAGAATGACTGCCTCTTTCTAGATCTGAATTTTTTATAGTATTTGTCTTCTACTTATGTTAAAATCACAGTTAATAAAGATACACCTTTGCATGCCATAGGCAACAGAATAATGATGTTGAGAGGTGAGGTAACAGGTAGTTGCTAGGAAAAGGTCCTTATTACTGCCTAGCAATGACATGAGATACAGCCAGGAACAGAAAGCTGAAAGCAGAACTCACAACTCTTTTGTTTAAAGAATTGACCCCTTGGAAAAAGCCCCTTTTATAATCAGCTGACCAACAAGGTCATACATCCTATGAAACTGAGGAAGTTTGTTAAGCCTTTTGAGCTTAAATTTTACCACACTTAAAAAAATTCTTTAAAGACCTTCATCTGACAAGTATTCATTTAAGAGAATTTTGCCAAGAGTGTTAAATCTGTTTAACTTAATTTTACCACACAATTATAATCTTTAAAGAAGTCTATCTGACAAGAATTTATTTCAAAGAATTTTGCAAAGGAGGCACAAAATTGTCTCCATTTAGAACTTAAATAATTCTGCATCGACTGAAAGGAAGAGGAAAAAAAATCTGCATTTTCAGCAGGCTACATGAAATTATGAAAGAAACATCACAAATAATTTCAAAAGTGATTGATTTGAAGATCTGGGCTGTATCAGGCATGACATAACCATTTCTGTCTCTTTCCCTGGGCCTGTTCCCCTATTCTTTGACTGCTGTTTTCCAGTGCTGAACTGTGCTTGGAGGTAATAGCCTGCATATCCTGGGGCATGCTGCCTGAAGGGCAAGGACCACTGTGTCCAAATAAAAACAGGGAAGGACAAGGACCCATGCCATTGGCTATATAGATAGACAAGACTCCTTCCTTCCTGGACCTTACAGTCCCAGGTTCACATGTAACAGGCACCTGTGGTATACAGTTGCCTTCCTTTCCTGAAAGTTTTCTACCAGTCCCTCTGTTAGGTCTATTCAGGGTCTTAATCACAGTTACAGTATAATGTTTAACAATGTTGCTGACCAAGAGGAAAACAGTGCAAACTACTGGCGTTCCCTTCTCCAGCCATATACTCAGTCATTCAGATGGAGCTGACAAGGTAGAGCAGTGAAGTGGCCTGGAAAGAACCCGGCCCTTACCAGTTGGGAAACTACTTAGTGCTGGTGTGCTGCACTTGATCCAAATACCAATCATACTGTATCTCTTAATAACAAGGAAAGGTGAGTGTGGGGGTTCAGTATTAAAAGTAGAAAAACACCAATCAGACTGTATCCCTAATAACAAGGAAAGGTGAGTGTGGGGGTTCAGTATTAAAAGTAGAAAAAAAATCCCTTCTCTCATTAGTAATACTACTCATGAAATTTCTGCTCTTTCCCCTTTAGCTTTGGGCTAAGCCAGACTGATGGTAGCCAGGAAGGAGTGCTTCTGCTGGAAGATACATTCTGTATTGGCTGCTTTGAACTTCTCACATGATTGAACCAATGGGCAGAGAAAGAGGTTACTTATATGCTTAGAAGGAGTCACCTAATTTTCCATGGAGAAAGTAAGTCGCCTCAAGGCAACAGGAGGGGCAGGATCTACAGGGACTGCTCTTAGCAATTCCATGTTCACAGTAAACAGCTTGGTAAACTCATAGTACCCAGATAACTGTAGGCTGAATTAGGAATTTGGGTCTTTAAGGAACAAAGGCTAGAAAAAGACAAAAGGGAGCTCTGGCCAGCTAAGGGATCAGCAATGGCCAAGGGCAATATGGAGCAGGTGACTGCAGTATGTGATCCTTAACCCTGCTGTCTTGTTGTGAGGACAGAAAGACAACATTGGCAACCTGGCAAGCCAAGAGAGGAAGCAACCAATGCTT